AATTGAATTCTTCATTCCAAAATGGTCAAAATTCTACTTGGGTAAACAAAAATATTTCCAATCTCTTATTAGACATAACACGCACAGGTTACAGAATTGATCAGGTGTACACACACGAATTGCTATTTCTTTCTTTTCATTTAACTTCCCCAAAGACTCGGACGAACTAATCTATGTCAAATGCCCTCAAATCATTCGGATACGTAGTAGAGTATTCGAATGGTTTGTAGGTATGCAAACTTAGAACGTTGTGACTAAAATGCAACAATAAGATGAAGAAAATAAATAAATAATGAGAGAATTCAAAGAATTTAATTCTTGTTGGACCAAATGTGTATGACATGTTATCCATTTGTCAATATTGCAATCAGATTGCTAGGTTAGCGTCTAAGAAAGTTGGTTCACTGTGTCGTGCGAGATAATTTTTTCTCTCTAGAATCTATCCGACATATCTATAAGTCTACCATTCGTCCATGCTTAGAATATTGCTGGCACATATGTGTTGGTGCTTCAACAGTTTACTTTGAGTTCCTTGAAAAAATCCAAAGAAGAATCAGGACTATTATTGATCCTGATCTGGCGTCTCGGCTTCAGTCACTTTCCCACCGCAGTGTCTTTTCTGTGTTTTTTCTATAAATACTTTCATGGTAATTCTTCGAATGAGCTCTTCGCTGAAGCGAAGTACTAGACTGCTGTTGAGATCTCATCAATCTTGGCTAGATATAACCGTAAGTTCCATGCTAACAGGTTCTTTTCTCGCACTTATCGTTTGTGGAACCCGCTTCCAGCTCCATACTTACCAGCGAAATTTAAATGCAAATTAAATCTAATGTACTCCTGGTTACTCTTCTTTTGTTCTCGCTCATTATTAATATTTCTGTTTCTAATTCTTCCACATCCAGTTTTGGTTTGGTTTTGTTTGTTTTACGGCATTTGGGTTATTTAATGCCGACAATAATTTTATTGTTGGCAATATTTTTTCAAAAAATGTATTGTCAAATTCTTTTCTAAAAAAAAGTATTGCTGACATTAAAAGCTATTTTTACACTTTCATAGAGTTTTGACCCCCTTTCAGGGATGCTAAGTATTTGCCCAAAGCTCGGACCCTGACAGGTGCTACCACCCCGGGTCAGAGTGGACCTGGGAACACCAGCAATTAAAAGCTGGTTCCACGCTCCTCAAAACATCCTGACCAGAGGCCTTGCTGTTGGATGTAGTCTATCGTCTTACCGAGGACTTCCACACCCAGTCACCGTTTGTGTCTTAGTAGCTTTACCGTCTAGCATGGGGTGAAATCGATCAAAAATATGTGGCTCTCCAAATAAAAGAATCAGTTTTAATGCCAAATGCTTGCTCTTCAGATTTTGCAATAAAATAATAGTAAACAAAAGAAACTTGCTGATTTTCTTATTTTTATGATTTATACATGACAAAGAACAGATGTTTTGGTATATTGATAGGTAATTGAAAATTTAATGAAAGCAATGCTTTTATGTCTTGTATATACTTTCATATGTCACAGAAATCTGAAACAAAAGAAAATCTATTAAGAAACAAGCAAATTTCATTCAGTCTGTTAAGTTGCTATGTAATATTAATCGTCCTATATACTAGTAAAAACAACATATTTTATTCATGAGACTCCAGGCAACGGAGATGTGATTCTACAGTAGCATTCTGAGAATACCATGAAGAACATAGAAACAAAAATGACACAGTTACTTAACTTCCGGAAGTGATACTGGAAGTTTCCGGAACTCCTACTGAAGTAAAAAAGAAAAAACATGGCATACAAATGAAGAAGTAAAAAAAAAAAAAAACGAAATGAATTCGATTCACTTACTTGCGATCTTGTACTAATCTTAAGCTAAGCTAAGATCAGTAAAACGCAAATGCATCTAGGACTTAAGGCGCCTCGAGGTGGTGTAATGGTTCGCAAGCTTGTCAAGCTAGAATAATTACGACTGACTAATGAGTTCGATCCTCACTGGGTGCCCCTAATTTCGGCCTTGTGCCACATCTAAGCTACGCTTGGAAAATCACTTTAGGGCACTTCGACGTGGTGCAATGTTTAGAAAGCTTGTCTTGCTAGATCAGTTAAGACTGGATAGTGTTTGATCCTCACTGGGTGCCCCATACTTTCGGCCTTGTGCCACATCTAAGCCGCGCTAAGAAAATCACTACATCTCGGACTTGAACCTCCATCGGTAGAGTTTACCAACATTTTATTTACTTTTAAAATATACAATATTTACAATTTTCAAAACTGCTTATTATCTATCTTTATCCCAGTACATATGTGGGTATGTGCGCATTCAACTAAATATTATAACTATATGTAGGTGAGTGGGTGTAAAGATTGCTCAGAACTTTTTTCCATAAACTAAAGAATGACCGAAGTTCAGTTGTATGGAAGCAGGAAAGATTAAGTAAACCTTTTACAAAATGTTATAAACATTTATAAAAGTTTGCTTGCCTGTAGCCTTGAATATCCATTACCATTAATGAATAAATGTTCCGTTTGTATACATCATACGCACGCAGACACAAACTCACACACATTACACACACACACATTACACACACACACACACACACACACACACACATATATATATATATATATATATATATATATATATATATACGTGAACACTGAAGCCAACACTCAGAGGCGACAGGCTCTTTCACTGACGATCGCGTCCAGCATGAAACAGCCTGTCGCCTCTGAGTGTTGACTTCAATGTTCACTTTTATATTTACATACGCTCTATCTCTGATATTGAGCACTTTATCCCATAAATCTAGCACACCTTAAAACTATATTTCGTTTATATATATATATATATATATATATATATATATATATATATATATATATATACGATTATTACCTCATGCGGATATGGCCAATGCATGTATAAAAATGAAAATGACGCAACCACTAGAATCCGAGGATGCTAGTCTACTAGGGCGGCTAGCTAATTCCCATTGCAGACGCCTGATCAGACACATTTGTGTTTGTTCAACACCTACAGAGCCCACCTGTAGTTTATACAGTAACTATGCTGAGTGGAACTTAGTTACAGTTTCTGAGAGAGAGCGTGTTATCTAGCGTGATCAACAGTTTGAACAAGGTTTGCACGCTCAGACCCTCACTCACGAAGACTTGTGACTTCGTGCTAGCACAAACACCGACAGTTCCCAAAGGTTATGTCTACCCAATTTAATTCACAAGGATTGGGTCAATCCCTGGTATGGATTTAAGGCACTTTCCAAAAGTGCTGCAAGCTGGGATCGCCTCCCCCGGACCGATAACATCACCGACCTGACAAATCGACCATGGTGATATTCGAAACCAAAACGCACACGTTCTCCTATATGGCAACAAATACTGAACAGTGTCCTCACGGGTGAAGGGTCTTGAAACAACAAAAACATCGTTCTAGAGAAGGATGCTGAGAATACTAAGGTCGAGCACATACCGAGGTAAGGGCGCTTGGAAAATATGATACTCAGAGGACAGACGCAAGGCAAGCTTAAAACAACGAATAACCAATCTAGTCAGATTGTGTAAATGAAACGATCACTGTCTTCACTTATTATTAAAATTATATATATATGTGTGTGTGTGTGTCAGTGTGTGTGTGTGTGTGTGTGTGCAAATATATGTGTGTGTGTGTGTGTGTGTGCGCAAATATGTATATATATATGTGTGTGTGTGTGTTTGCGTGTGTGCGTGTGTGCAAATTCAAGCTGGAAACCTCCTGTGTCATCCTTTACTCGTTTCCGTCACTATCCCTTCAACGCCACAGGATTTCACGCCCACAAAACATTTTGGTGATGCTTAATGAATAACCTGCACATGACTTGTTTAAAGGGGCCATTGCTTGTGTGACACAATGCAAACTCTCTCCATCAAAACAGCATAGACTGTATCGGTGCACGGTTTGTCACGTGTCAGGTGATGAAGTGGTTTTAATTAAGAATTTTTCTTAATAAAGACTAAAGGATCTCTATCTCCAAGTGATTTAACCACACGCTAGAAAACTAACTCAGCTATGTCTATGTCCCCACGACAATATATATATATTTTGAAATGTCTCTTGGGAGATTGTATCTCCAAAGGAAAAAGTAATATACATGTTGGTCATACAACTACTACTTGGTCTCGACAGTTGAGTTTTCATTTGAATGATGCATCAAAAATATCACAAAATTTACAACTGCATGCCTGTCCGCATTCACAATTTAGGAAAATTATTGTTGATAATAAACAAAAACTAATTGAACCTGTTTATATTAAAATTTGAAAACACCCCTTAATAAAATGATTTATGAATACTGCATAAAGTTTTTTTAAATGTTTACAGTAGATAGTCTATCTAGGTTTTAATTAATAGTTTGTTATTTTTTAAAACACAAAACATATCGACATTTCTCCTGTGGTTTCAAACGTGAAAACTAAACCGTACAATGCATAACCTTAGCGTTTTTCACGTCACAGTTAAAAAAACACTTTCAGATGAATATAACAATTTTGTCTTAGAAAAACAATAACACCCTGATGATCACATTGTGCTAATGTCGAAATTAATCGGAATAAATGATTATGTATCGACATGGTAATTTTATCTCTTCATTTAATAAGGATACTAAGAAACTTGTCCGTGAATATGAGAGGATCCTCTTGAAAATAAGTAGACAAAACTTGTCTAAAGTATTCAGTGAGACATGTCTTAATATATATATATATATATATATATATATATATATATAATGTGTTTCTGTGTAGTATACTAAGCTAGCTAGATCTGTGTAGATAAATTCAATCTTAATATCAAGTTCCAACACCGATGATTAGTTACACTATCCGTGAAATTCACATGTGAGTCAGATAAGTTAACATTTACTTTTATTGTTTCTTTTTAATGATCTATCCATTTATTCCTCTATTAATCCATTCATATATCACTATTTATATCTATCTATCACTCTAGCTATCTATCTCAGTCTGTTTATATCTATCTATCTATCTATCTATCTATCTATCTATCTGTCTGTCTGTCTGTTTCAGTCTCTTTATATCTATCTATCTATCTAGAGCTCTTTGGTTACTAATAGCGTTTGCCTTTATTAGCGTTATCTTCCAGAAATATATTTGTCGACCACTTTTTTTACGAAACTCATTCTTTTATATATATATATATATATATATATATATATATATATAGATAGATAGATAGATAGATAGATAGATAGATAGATATGTTTGTATTTGTGTTGGCACGCGTTTTTTCAACTGATTTATTGAAGTTAAGCCTAACTGAACCCGTTGTTTCTCGTGTCTTCTTTAATTTTTCACTTGTGTATGCTTGGTCTTCAGCCAGATTTTACGTATGTAACCTTAGCAGCTCGCAGACACTATCGATCTATGGACACTGATGGATTCCTGTGTAGAACACAGATATATACATGCCTTGGCACTTATTCATACGCACTAGCCTTGGTCGAATCAAATGGCTGATTTACAAAATTGTCTGCATATATATATATATATATATATATATATATATATATATATATATATATATATATATATATATTGATTTTTGCACACACGTTATATCTCGCCTACTTTCGCAATTTCTCTTCGAGATCGGCAGATGTACAACGGGGTGGGGTTGCATGGATTTCTACTAAGTGACTTGGGTTCTTCAGCAAGCAGTGTTAGCTTTAAGATGAATGATTAAGAAGTTTTTCGGGATGCGTTTCGCAGTCTGTACTCCTTAGTGTCGATTCAGACATTTGATTGCATCATCAACATCATCACCACCACCATAATCATCAGTACTACCACTACTACCACTACCATAACGTCGTCATCAGTCGTCATCAGTAGTGATCACTCCAAACATAATAATGTTGACTGGATATATCATCCAACTCTTTCTGAATCCTCTGCATTGACACCCAAACACGTTCAAATGTTCGGATTGAAGCTTCTGGCGCGAATGACAAGCAGTACAACTTGGTGTTTCTAAATTTCTGGAGGAGAGAATGTTGCTCTTTTTCTCACAGACGGTGGACAACTGACCTTACTATACTGTGCAGTCAACAAAGAAGATGACGCGCATGCGCGATATTAAAAATATAAAATGGCGACAATTTACCTGTGTGTATGTGTGTTTGCTTACATATTATATATATATATATATATATATATATATATATATATATATATATATATATAGAGAGAGAGAGAGAGAGAGAGAGTATAAACGCTTTTGAACTCTGTCAAGGCTGAGAAATGCAGATTGCATCACACCAGCCAGAAGTTGGGAGAAATATTCAATTTTTATGATTTGATTCTTGTAAAAAAATGAGAAATTCCAGAGAGAAATGACTAATTTTACGTTTTGATTGAAAGAAGAATTTTCTTAATGTTTATTTTTCAATAGACATCACAGAATCTCTTGAAATATAGTTTATCAATAAAAGGAGGAAACATTTTGATTGGAGATAAATTCAAAACAAATTTAAATTAAATGAACATGAAGCAGCTGAACATTAATTTGAAACCAATCAGATAACACATTCTGAAATATAAATATTCAAGCGACTATAGCTTTCAATTAATTATCATATTTGAATTGGGAATACACTTCATGTACGTTTCTTACTTAATATTCATACCAAAAAGTGGTCTTTTTCACGAATAACCGTCGCCTAGAGCTTAATTGTGGCTTGAGAATGTATGTAACGTCTAAGTGTGGTCGGCCACTGTTCAGAGGGAATTTATTTAGTAATATTAAGGCTCTGCAAGTTAATATAGCTGTGAGCTCTCTTTCTCTGGTGTCATCTTTAGCAGACTTCATTAAGAGTTGTTCATTTTATGCATAAATATACACAAACACACACATATATGTGTATATATATTTTTTTCGGTTAGTTTGTATTTACGTAGGTGATATTCGACTGGTTGTTCACGGTAAAGCGTTGAAACCTTTTTTTTTTCGAAAAAAGTGGAGGCATTTTGCGTTAGAAATGAAATTAATCGTTCACTCGCCAGTAATTTACAATTGCCTAAGGAGACGCATTGATATGCGTTGAAACTCGATAGCAATTATGTAGCGATTTTTAAGATGATTTTGTTTTAATATCCTAAAATAAATAATATATATATGTGTGTGTGTGTATGTGTGTATATATATATATATATATATATATATATATATATATATATATATATATATACATGCAGATTTCACAGAAGATGACTGACAAGGCACTGCGATTAAGAATTTTATAATTTTTTTCTTACATTCGTAAAAGTACTTTATTTTTTGGACATCATGCGTGTAAAAACTGGCCAAATGTTCTATGGGTCCGTGGCTTTTCAGATAATCTCTTATCCATTATCAAGGATTTTTTTTTTTTTTTTTTTTACTGAATATTTAGATTTAATATATATGTAACTATAGGGATTGTAATGTTTTTTTTTTTGTTTGTTTTGAACACAGTACGTCGCGGCTGTATTCATAGCTGATATTATTTTGAGTTGGCGTCTTCTTTTCATTATTACTATAAATTTTATTAATATATATTAACTCTTTCTCTCTCTCTCTCTCTCTCTCTCTCTCTCGCTATCTCTCTCTCTCTATATATATATATATACACATATATATATATATATATATATATATACATCTTTATATATTTATTTATATTATATATATTTATTATATATATTTATTTTTATTATTGATATAAATTTATTATATATATATATATATATATATATATATATATATATATACACATATTTATACATCGTTTTATTATTGATATCTAAATTTATTATTAATATATATATATATATATATATATATACACATATTTATACATCGTTTTATTATTGATATCTAAAATTTATATATATATATATATATATATATATATATATATATATATATATATATATATATATATATATATAAATATTCACTCTTTACTGAATTTAATCTGTGAAAATGTAAGCAAATATATCCCCGGTTTAAAAATATTCCCCTTTCTAAAGATTACTTAATCATTTTGGTCATTTAAATTTATATCTCTTTAATAACGTGACAGTTGTAATTAACATTAATGTATTCTTTTTATACTAAATATGTTGGAAATATTAAGCCGTCAGTTATTATAATAATAATAATAATAATAATAATAATCTTAATAATAGAAATAAATTTGCAAATAAATTTGATGCTTTAGAATTTTGCACCAAAATATGGCTTTAAATCATCAGAATATGCAAAAACAGCGGATATAAACAGAATCAGAATTTATATTCTTTGTAGTTGGGTGGGTGTCCTCGTTTCTGTTTATATTTCAGGGATAATGTGTTATCATTATTTACATTCAGACAATGTCCCCTTTTTTTGTTGTTCTTATCCCAGTGTTTCGATTATTGTACCTTCCGGTCTTTATCGATGAGGGGAGCCTGTAGAAATTGTCCAAAGGAACATTTACGGAGGTAGCTTGCTGTCATTCCGCTGTCCGGGTCTGTTATGTTTTAATACTGCTTAGTTATTGCTGGTCAGGTTTCCACTGAGTCTTCGTCTGTACTACCCAGCCTGGGAATTGAACTCACAAATACTACACCAGCAAATTCAAATCAGCCATATTTTTATAAACTTGAAACTGATAAAAACAGTTGAATGATAGAGTTAAATCATTGAAAATATATGAATATATATATATATATATATATATATATATATATATATATATATATATATATATATATATATATATATATATATATATATATATATATATATATATATATATTCAAATTATGTACGACTAAAGAAAAAAAACAGTAAAACATATCTTTATAACATAGCTGTTGTTGGCTAAGCAGGAAAACGGAGAAGAAAAAAATGAGCTTAAAATGTGTAAAAGCACAAAAAGGAAAAAAAAAAGCCAAAAAATTCGCTAAAGAAATATTTTCAAAAGATTTTGATATAATAAAATCTGACAAAGAATCATTTTGTATTGTTTCTATTGCCTCCATTTCTTTTCGAATTTTATTACCTATATGATTTCTTTTTCTTTCAAAGCATAATTTATTTTCTAATCTTGATAATTCAATAAGAAAACAAAATGTCCTTCCACACACAAATGAGAAATTATTTTCTTTGTCCGCTGCAGTTGTCAGGCTTGAGGCTATCCCTGAAGCAAATTGGAAAAAGCCGGAATACTCCACAGCGAGCTTTCCAACACATGTATATATCTATCTTATCAATATAATCTGATTTAATTTCAAACATCTCATTAAAAAAAACCACCTGTCCTCGTCAGATTACAAAAGAAAACAATTAATATTCACATTACTCGTAATATATTTACCCATACTCGACGTATTTAAAATAGGAATACTTTGTATTCAGTTCGAAGTTTTATGTTTGAAATTATTAAATAAATAAAAAAAATGTTAGGTCTTCCAATAAAATTAATAATTTATTAATATATCTGCTTATGTCAACAAAGAAGAAAAAGTAATTCATTTACAACGTTTTCATATGGGTTATTTTCGAAGAAATGGGATATTTCTTTATCTGGTGAAAATTGAAGTATCTATTTTATTTTCCTATGTGCCGTTTTCTTTCACGACGTGAACGATCATAGATCTCCACAATTTCCTATCACTTGTGACCCATAGCAGCGTTTCTCTCTTTGCTAAGCCTCCAGTCTTCGATGTGTCTTATGAGTGGCAAGTTTTCCAATCCCTCCTTCCTCACTATGCGTTCAACAAGTTTCACCTGACTCTTTGTGATTTTGAGTATAAATGTTCTTTTCTTTGCTTACACACTCCGTCCATGGAATGCTCAGTATCCTTCTGTAGAACCACATTTCTGTTGCCTCCATTTCCCGTTTCATCTGTGGAGAGATTGTTCAGCATTACTAACGTTTTAACTATAACGATATATTTCACCTGTCTCTTTCAGATTTTGAGTTTAACTCTACACGCAAGCTGTCAGTGGCCCGCTGCCAGGACGCCGATGGTAACGCCAGTTGTCCTCTGGTGACAGCCACCAATAGGCTACCGGC